GATCTGTCATCCTTGCCACTCCTCCCTGTTTACGGATATCTGCTGGAACTCTCTCCAAGGCCATCACAGCACAAGCCTGCAATGATCATAATATTATTCAACCTACAAACTACCATTATAAACACTGTGATAATCAAAATTCTGAGCAAGAACCTAGAAAAGATTGGAGACTGCTTGTCAAGAGCACACATAACTTGGACACCACCTGTAGACAAATAGCTGTCATTGCTCATTCTAGTATCTTTACACACAACATGTGTTAACCAGCTTTACTTTCTGTCAGCAACATCGAAAAACACAGTACCATTCTTTAAAGACCTTTCCAGGATGTTTTAGAGCAGTATTTTGGATTTTGCCATTAGCTGCACCTGCAGTATGGAGAAAATGAAAGTGGATATTAGGGCCTAAAGCTAAGGGTCGTACCCCTGCTTCTTCAGCTATCCTTGCTTGTTCGGCTGTAGTGACATCCATTATAATTCCACCTTTTGCCATTTGTGCCAACCCAGCTTTGAGCTTGAATGTTCCTGTAACAATAAAGGGGACATCTAATGAACCACTCTAGATTCGAAACACTAAACAAATGATTTTAAACCATACACTATTAACCTATGAGTACAAGAAAACAGCAGACCTGTCTTGTGCTGAATCAATGCAACATCCTTAGTACCATTCTGAGCTGTCCTGCTGTTTAAAGTCAGATTGCTTACCTCTAAGTCTGAACCTAACAAACAGAATGGAAGTGAGTCATAAAAGAAGCATTGTCAGATTTTTTCTTCCTAACTCCAAATTTATTACCATACACTGAGAAAGTACAGTAGAATCCAAGTTTTTCGAACCTCCAAGGGAAATGGAAGTTGATTAAAAAAAAATGATGGTGGCATTGAATTACATCAGCTTCATCATGGTATTGTTTTATAACAACAAAGACGGCCACAGACAACAACAATATAGCACTCTAGCACGTCAATGCAGTGCCATAGCTCTTAATTATTTTACATACAAAATGTACACTTGCGCTGAAAAAGTACTGTACTGATATATAGCATGTGTTAATGTTGCACTGACTTAAATAGCATTTCCTTCCATTAACTGCTAACAGAAGCCCTGTGTTTTTTGTTAAAAAATTGAGAGCTTTGAAAAATTGGTTATTAAAAAAAATCGGGAATCTGCTGTACCGCCTGAATTTTAATTTCTAACTTACCAATGTAATATTGATAGATGGAGTTTGTTTGCCTCTTTTAAAGCAAATCTTTAACAAAATATATCCTAGAATATACCTAAATGTAATGTAAGTGGTTGTTTATCATAATTCAATTACTTCTAAAGAACTATTTCCATAAAAATGATCAGAAACACTTTTCAAAGCAATGATATAAAATATATGCAAAATATAATACAAAATACAATAGAATAATAATCAATTAAATAATCTTAAAAAATAACTCTGAATACATCCAAACTATTGGTCTACCATGCTCAAAAAAACTGCTCTTGTAATTCAGTGAGCAGACTACCGTATTTCCTCGAATAATAGCTGTCCCTCGATTAATTGCCTCCCTCAAAATAATCGCCCCCCTTAGACGGAAATATTGAAAATAATCGCCTCCTTCGGATAATCGTCCACCCCCTCCCCTCTTGTCACCTTCTCTTTCTTTTATCCCCTCCCTGTCAAGTTGAAGTGGAGTCTGATCCAGCAAAACTGACCAGTGACAATTCAAGCTCTGACGCCGAGGATATTGACACTGAATATTAAACAAGGAACCAAATTTGACACCTTCTCTTTCTTTTATCCCCTCCCTGTCAAGTTGAAGTGGAGTCTGATCCAGCAAAACTGACCAGTGACAATTCAAGCTCTGACGCCGAGGATATTGACACTGAATATTAAACAAGGAACCAAATTTGGAACACTTAGAAAACTCATGTTCAGTTTATATTTGTCGTGATCTCTCTTTTTTAATTTAATGGGATAACAAAACAAAATATTTAGGGTATGACTTCCAGTGAGCTATTTTTGAAATAATCACCTCCCTCGAATAATTGCCTTCCCTTGAATAATTACCCCCTTTTTGGGAGAAATTAACAATAATCACTCACAGCTATTATTTGAGGAAATTTGGCATTTCATACTTCTGTTTGATCTAAGATAACCTAAACTGCCAGTGGAGCAGTTTACATGGATCAACAAGTCTGGCTACCTCCCAGGCTGGGATGTAGCTTAATTATTAGCCTAATTTCAGTTTATTCATCCTTTATCAGGCAGGCGCTTTAATACCATTCATATGTAAATACAATCTGTTGAACAACAAAGAAATTGAAAACAATGCTCATGCCAAATTTTGGAAGGAAAACAATAAGTATTATCTAATGTTACTTTTGAATAAGGCCTATCCATTTCTTACGAGCACTATTTTTAGTGCAATTTACAATGACGTCTTTGTTATTGATGCTTCACATAATGTATGTGTTAATTTCTTTCAGAGGAATGGAATAATAGAGTAAGAAGAGTATGCAGGCCAGTGATGCATTTTTCTTGAAAGCTTTAAAAAAAGCCTATTTCATTTTCAAAATGATCTTCATGGCCAACCAGCTCTGACTTTAGCAAAGCAGCCTCAAATCCCGGGGGGGATACTTCTGAGAATTCTTGGTGGGGGTGTACCGCCTGCTTCTTCAGATCCTGACCCGATTTCAGACCAAAAAATGTAATTTTCCAAACCCATTTTCAGACTAGAACTCTAAAATCCATACCTGTTTTCAGACCTAGCCTTTAGGTAGAAATTATGTTATCATTACTTAGATTAGAGTGCACACAAAAAAATATGCGAAGCCATTTCGAATTCGCATATTTCTCCTTCTTTCTTACTCATTAGGAATTGAAACAATAAATACGTTCATACACTCCAGTAGTTCCCTTGAAAATCATACCCGATTCCAGACCAAAAGGGGCCAAGTGTATACCCGTTTTCAGACCAAACCGGCGCAAAAACCCTATCCGATGGGGGCAGCACATACCTATATGGCCTATATAAGGGAATACCCCCCCCCCCCCCCCCCCCCCCCCAAAAAACAAACCCCCCCCAATAAAAATTCTTTTTAAAAAAAAAACCCAGCTTCTAGTAATAATTTTTAACCTCCACAACACAAAAAAGAGGAAAAAAAAAAAAAGAGAGTGCGGTGTTTTGTATATTA